TGAACATATTTACTTATTTGTTTATATTACCTATGTGAACTCTTAACCTATCTTTTTTATACCTTCATAGCGATAGGTATATAGGAGGATGGAAAAAATGTATTTGGGCTAACTTTACGCGAATGCACATTATTTTATTTATTTATTTTTTATTTTTTTTAATTAAACTGTATACCAATTAATTGATCCTTCAGGATTTATAATTGTTTTTTTTTCACGATTAAAACCGCGTAGAAAGTTTAGGCATTATAGTTGACGCATTCGCCATAGATTATACACTTATGGCATGCGCAGTACACATATTTTGTATACATTTATTCAACTAATACAATTAATTAAACAAAAAATGAGTAATTTCGAAAGAGAACAAACGTATTTTTTATAAGAACAATCGAAAATGAATATTTACGAGTAATTAAGGACGAAAAAATATTAAAAATTGCAATCGAGGGGCTAACTTTTAGATATATTTTTAATATATTTTTTAAAATAAATAAATGGGGAACAAACAATTATTAACAGTGAACAATCAAGAACAAATGATGAACAAACGAATTAATAGAAAATAAGTAGAAAACAGGAAAAAAAAATTTTTTTGAGGGGCTAACTTCATTCACCCCTGATAGCTTTGAGAGACTATTTCAGCTTCTCTTTTTTTTTTTTTTTTTCCTACCTAATCTGATAGCCTTAGGGGCTATTTCAGCGTAACCGTGGCTAGTAGGTGAGCTCACGGGGCTCAAACCTGATGACGATGCTAACACGAACCCTAGCAAGAGCCGTGCTTCGCAGAATTTACCACCGGATCGGAAACGCGACCCACTGAGAAGATCCGGCGAGAAACTCAGTGGGCTGTGTCTAAGAGTTAATTTACTCGTCGAGCCCTTCGTCGCAAGCGAAGGTTTTGGCGAGGACGGTGACCGATGCTTGAGGTACCTAAAACCACCAATAATGGATCGGGAGGATTCATACCATTCGGTATGAAATGATACCATTCGGTCCACAGGATCGGGTATGTAATTACCGGCGCCCACGACAAGAGGGTTTTCAGGTCAAAATGGCGCAATTATGCCAAATGTAGATACTTATTGACTGAGTCAAGCTCCAGGTCATCATGGAGATCCACGTTCCTTAGGAACCGTCGTGCTCCGACGGTTATCCTGCAAAAACGGGATTGGATGACTTGAAGAGGCTTCAAATTGGTGCGGGCCGCGTGAGCGAGCATTATAGTAGGGGAGCCCACGATGCTAAATGGGGATTTACTCGAGCGTCATAGAGACCTATGGGGTTGCAAAGCTTAGAGGATAATAAGAAAAAAATGTCATATAATGTATTCCTTTGGAGCGGTGGGGCTATAGATTTTCAAATTTGTAAAAAAGCTGTTGCATGGATATACTCGAGTGCGTCAGATAGCTTATATGTCCTACGTATTTTTAATAAATTGTGTGTATGTTAATCTGATCGATTGCATTATGGGGGTGGTCGAAGATAAGGACTGGAAATGAAAAAAAATAATAATCGAGCGTGTCAGATTTTCTTAGAGGTCATAAATGAGCCTTATATAAAGGTCTCATGCAATAATCTGACGATTTCGATGTGACGCAAACTCGCAGCCATTATTTAAAAAAAAGCCCTTTTGAAATAGGTACTCAAGCGTGTCAGATTAAGACATAGTAGGTATTATGGTTCATCTTTATATGCTAGACGTGCTGTCTCATAATCTGACGCATATCTGACGATTATCTAGAGGGATTCGCCTAAACCGACAAAAAAATATTTTTAAATCATTGAACTTAATCAATGAAAAGCTCAGGAAATAGCATGCAAATAAAAAAGTGTATGTTTTTTAAGTAAAATTATTGTATTTGCAAGAATTTAAAAAAACATGTTCCAAAAAAGGGGGAGAGGGGATTATACATTACGCAGCTGCACGCGTTCAACTTTATAGACAAATTTTTGTTATTTCGGCTTGTGGAAATCGTAAGATTATATAGTTTTCGTTATCCTTGAATTATTTGCTCCAGATAAAAAAAAAAATTAACCACGCTCGAGAATGTCCAGATGATCAACCTATTTTTACTAATCTGATCCTTTGTCCTGGACGCGCGGCCTTATTTATGAGGTTCATATATTTGATGGAGGTACTTAACATTTAATAAACTACCGTCCTTCCTTAATGAAGCCTGAAAAACCCTAGATTTACAAATAAAACAGTTTGGGCAACTTCGCTCCTAGCTTTCCCATCAAAAAGCCCTGTTATTTTACATTTCTGATTCGTCCATCGTAGAGGTAATAATGAGTCCGTACAGTTCTTCTGTACCAAAAGCCGAAGCCGCCTATTTCTTAAATATTAAGAAGTGTATTATTTCAGTTTTGTCGTTTGAAGTGAGTTGGAACGAAATGTATTAAAATGTAAATGAATGTTATCATTAAGAAATGAAATGTATCTATATATTATTATATATATATAAATGAATTGCTGTTCGTTAGTCTCGCTAAAACTCGAGAACGGCTGGACCGATTTGGCTAATTTTGGTCATGAATTATTTGTAGAAGTCCAGAGAAGGTTGAATTATTATTAAAATTAAATAAAAATAACAATTTTGTTTTTCCTTTGACGTGTCCCCCGTCGGACGAGTTCCTTTTGTTTGTTTTAAGTTTATTTTACACAAAAGTTTAGGTCTTTTATTTATCGATAGAGGCACTACGAAGTCTGCCGGGTCAGCTAGTAAAATATAATTAAATGAGGTGATCTAAGACGTAATGAGTGTAAGATGAAATAAATTAACCATTCAGTAAAATGGCGGGAATTTAAATAAGAAGTTTAATGAACCTTTTGGAGGCCACATCCTGCGTTTTTCGCATTTTCACAAGTTTGTGTGCTATCACAGACACGACGAACAAAATAAAACAATTAATGATGGTCATGACCTATGCAAGTGTAGTGTTGATTCACGCGGCCCGCACTAATTTGAAACCACTTCAATCCCGTTTTTGCAGGATAGCCGTCGGAGCACCGTGGTTCATGAGGAACGGATCTCTATGATGATCTGGAGTTTGACTCCATCAGTAAGTATCTTCAGTCGGTATCAGTTCGCCACTGTGAGAAGGCGGTACGACACGAAAAACCTCATGTCGTGGCCGTGGGAGATTACATACCCGATCCTGCGGACTGTATGTTAAACAGTAGACGTCGCCCTAAACATGTCATTTCGGATCCTCTCGATCCACCAACGGTGCTTTTAGGTACCTCAAGCACCACTCACCGTTCTCGTCGAAACAGTCGCTTGGGCGAAAAAAAATATCCAATTTTATTTTTGAATAATTCTATTTAATATTGGAGAGTTATGTCTGTTATCAAATTTAATTGAAATATGTACAATCTTATACACTAAACACAATCTATATTACTACTATAATAGATAACAGAACATTATGATACATGGTAGTTTACGATACATACTAGTTTTGTTAAACAGCTAACTACAAGGCTTCATTTTTATCAATTTCGTCCGATAATTCATTTTTACGAATTGAATCTGACCTCAGAAACATTATTATTAGCCCATGTATCAAGCTGTATTTAACACTCCTTTTGGTTTATTTATTTCACAAACCACAGCATAGATCTCTTATTCAAGCTGTATTTGTCTTTGGATCAGTTATAATGATTTATTATGATAAGGAGTAATGCTTATTCTATTGGTTCAATTCCATTTTCAATAGTGCCATTGCATATTTTAGTATCATCTATTTCAATGCCAGTATCATCAGCAGTGTCTGACATTAACTCCTGTAATAATTAAGAAGTATTGTTAAAAGACAGCAACAGTAAAACAAAAATTGTATATTGAAATAAAGCTGATAATTAAAATCCTTTACATTATATATACACTTGTTGGTTAAAAGTCCTCCTGAGCGATAACAACAATGTTTAAGGTTCAACATATTGTATCACAATAGCAAAAAACTGTAATAAAATAAAATTGGAGTCCTGTGCTCATTTACATTTTTCTTCTCAAAAGACATTTACTATAAATAGGACCCTTCAATTAAAACAACATTAAATCTCTTGATATTAAGGAAGTTATGAACATTTTAATTTTATACTAGACATAGTGCATTCTTACACTTTACGTTATCTTTAAGACTTTGTTTACTCTTTGGGGTATTTCAATAGTTATTCTATGATTTGCTTGAAAGTAATGTACCATAATATAGCTATAATTACTTAGTGACGAAATTCAAATAAAAACTTGATAACTTATACTGATAATTTCTTCAGTATTCATGTTTATTTTTCATTTTATTCTACAGTTTGACTTCTGAGCTTAATAAATACTATATTAACCGCCTTATTTTTATGGCACAGGTTGACAACTAGTCAGCATGAGCCTTAGCCTTCACACATAAATGTCAGGGTGCGAGTGTGACTCACATTTGTACAACTTTTTTCTTTAGATGGTTAACTTTTAAAATTTTATAATTATTATTTTTTTGTGTTAAATTGAATAAACTAATAAATTCCATATTTTGTTTTACACCCATGGATTGCAATCCTGTCAATGAACAACTATTTTTTTGTGTCTGAAAACCATAAAATTAATGCTAAGCAATAAAAAGTAATATAAAAGTTATTTACTTTGCACACTTCAATGAAACTATTTGCTTCATCAAGTAGTTTCTTATATTTTAAGTTTTCTTCTGTCAACAAAGAAAGACTTTTATGTAAAATTTCATTTTCATTCAAAGCTTCAGCTAAAGCTTTCCTGAAAATTTAAAAGCAATGCTCATAAAGATATTAATATAATGTCCTGCTTGTTATATATTTTTCTATGAAATTACCTTCTCTTTTCTGCAACAACTTTCCAATAGGTTTCAGAAGGAACTTCAAGGCACAAGTCGTTCTCTGAGATCCATTTATCTAAATTTACTTGAATAGATTTAGATGAATTTTTCTTCTTAGTCACAATATTCCTGTAATAGTTATAGATATTAGCATATTCTTTATGTATAGTTTTAATTTAGTAGTTATTGATAATTATCTTACAAATTCCATCATTCATTTGAACCACTTGTTGCCTAATATTATCATCACTCATGATCAAAGTCATGGACACAACCAGTTCACCAACTATGACTGAGAATGAATATCACATGTCCTTTGAAGGAGGAAATATCATAATGCTCAGGAAATACCACGGTGGGAATTCAATTCTACAGCCAGGTAATAGATATTTTATTAGTACATATTATCTCTAGAAACACTATGGATAAATACAGTGATCTTAGGGAAGAAATCTGCACCTGTGTGTTGTGGTATGTTGTTAAAGAGACAAGCTAGGATCAACTCAAACATACTGAAGTTGACTGAAAATGTCTCGTAATTTACATATTGTAATTACTAAAATTGGTAAATACTCCGTATTACACAGTTAACAATGAAGGCATCTATCTACATTGCATTACATGCTGTGAATAATTTTCATCATTTCTGTTTGATTTTGTGTGTGCTCAGTTATTACAATATTGCATTTATTCATTTTTTTTTTTATTGCTTAGATGGGTGGACGAGCTCACAGCCCACCTGGTGTTAAGTGGTTACTGGAGCCCATAGACATCTACAACGTAAATGCGCCACCAACCTTGAGATATAAGTTCTAAGGTCTCAGTATAGTTTAAACGGCTACCCCACCCTTCAAACCGAAACGCATTACTGCTTCACGGCAGAAATAGGCAGGGCGGTGGTACCTACCCGTGCGGACTCACAATAGGTCCTACCACCAGTGAAAAATATCAATTTCAATAGTTTGTACATCTAAGTAACATCTTTAAGTATTTATGTGGGTGACTCACATGTATTTATTTATTTTATATTATTTAATTATAATTACACTAAACAACAACACATACATACTTTATTTTATATCAATACATTCATTTATCTCACAATCATACAAAACATTAATTACACTAAACAAAATAAAATTCACAAGCAAAGTCAGGCGATAACTGAAGTATAGCGGCGGCGATATATTTCGCTAGTTCATCGGTCGCATTTTTACCGATCCACCGCCACCAGTCGAAATCTGACTTGCGAGCGCGCATCCCGTATTATCTTTTCTGTTCTACGCCTTTTATAATTTTTGCTTTTTGTTTCGTGTACCTGCTTGTGTTGTTTGGACTATCTATTTCTTGTGTACTTTCTCCTTCTTTCTATATTTCGTGTTCGTCTTAAATAAAAACTTTGGTTGTGTCCTTTTGTGTTTGCAAAGACATTTATAATTCAACCCAAGACGACTAAAATTTAGAATGTAAAAAAGAATATAATGACAATAAAAATGCTTGTCTAAGCTTTAAAAGTACTTTTAAATATGTCAACAACTGAAGAAAATACTACAAATGAATGTGTTAAATGGCACTGTAGACAAAGCAAACGTTCTAGACAGGTATTAACTTTACTAAAAAATTGGGAGATACAGTTTTTATATGAGATTGCAATACAAATGGGTTAGAGCACCCTTCACAAAACAAACAAGCAGAAAATTGGGTTGAGTAGGTAAAATTTATCAGGTGGGTTTTATTGCTAGAACTTCAAGTGTTGTTAAAACTATCCTGCCCATTTCTTTTGTTAGCTAAATTTATAAATAGGAAAGTACAAGAAAGCTTTGCTGGAATTTGGAATGCTATTCATTAATTTAATATATTATTATATAGATACTTAATATTTACCTTGGACTGAAGTATTCCTTGATGCTGCCTTTCTTTCGACCAGCCAATAAATCTTTGTCGACTGATTTTAGTATAGTTGTTGCAGTGTTTGAATTTATTTTGCTTTCTTCGCCAGAATGCTAGAATAGATTTTTATTTTAAGAAAACATTTGCTAATAGCGATAATTAGATAAAGTTGATTTTAACACTGACCTCACTCATTATGAATAAAATAATGAATCAAAGTGATGTAAGAAGAAACAGAGCATTAGTAATTATTAAAACTTGTTTGAATGTTTATCGAGGGTTTCTTAATATAAAAATGCCAACGGTCAAAATTGACAGTTTAGTCATTTATTTGAACCGTATCGACAAAAAGAAAAACAATTGATTAAGAAAAGAATATACCAAAAAAACTAAATTAAATTAAATTAACGAAAAAGAAATAAACGTAAGTACGTAGCTATTACATGTAGGTAAGTAGGTAAGGTATGTAGGTAGGTACAATTTAATTAATTAAATCATTTGACGTTTGTTTGAAGTTTGCATTGATTTTAGTCTATTAGCTTAATTTTTTTTAAACAGAATAGACTCGCACCACTTATCATAATAATCTTAGATAACAGAAATGTCTATATGAACTGAAATTTATAATGAAATGAAACAAAATGAAATACATGGAATTAAATTACATGAAAAAATAATTCCAAGTGGAAATTAGATGACATATAATTGTTAAGCTCTCGGTCAAATTATGAAAATTTACTGAAATGTACTTTCATGGATTTTTTGTACTAACCAGGTTTCTTTTTTTTATATAACTTTCTATTTTCGGACATTGTCAGTATATATGTCATATATTGTCGGTGTATCATAGTCTTCCTTATACATACATCATTTTGACTAGTCTCAATACACTTCTAATACATATTTTGTATGTGTCAGTAAGTTGTGTGAAATGAAACTAAGACAGCATTAATGTAAGGTATTGATAATAAGAAGTTTTCATTGTACCATAATTGAATTAAAGGAGAAAAAACTTGTAAACGTGTCAGTGCTCGAGTCGGGAATTTAAATAAGAAAGCTGGACGTGGCTTTTCGACTTTCGTTTCATGTAATCGTATACTTACTCTCTATTATCTCATCTGAGTTCCTTTATTTTAATTTCATTTTATTTAATGTATTCGTTCCATTTCAGATTTGTTCAAATGACTTGGTCTTTTATAACTAAAGATTAATTTGTATTCAATGAGTTCTTTGCCTTTTCAATGGACGAATCAAATAAAATTATCTTTGATATTCAATGTCATAGAGGTCATCATTGACGTTATTCTTAATTTTGTTCTCGTTGTTTATTCTATTTTAAATTACATGATAAACATTCTGCCTATTATCTAACAATTTTGTGATTGGACAGATTTTAAGATCAAGAAGAAAGTGACCAATTGCAAAAATATATTTTAGAGTCTGATAAAAGAAAGCTCAAAAAGAATCGTTTTAATTTATTTTTGTCGTATGTGGTAACTTAAACTTAACAGTACACTGCAGTTGATACACGATATTTGTTGAAAAGTTGGAAGCTCAAATAAGGTAAGTTAAATATTTTTAGTTTAACTTAATAAAAAGTCAAATTGTTTAGTCCTATCGTATAAATAATCTAGAAGAAGTAAAATTCAGAAATAAATACCGTGTTATCGGCTGTGTTATTTCTGCTAATTTTAAACACCCCTCTTCTAACAATCCAGTAATATAAGAACTTCACGAATAATTATTTATTTATACTAAACTAAATAATAATAGGTAAGTATCTTCATAGGAAAATTATGAAATCATAATTTTTCGTCAACTTACGGTCTGCTAACAGTTTGCACGGATCTGTACTGGTATCCGGCTTCTGAACCAAAGCAATTGTCTTCCCAATTATTGGGCAGTACAGCCGTTACATTAATAAAGTTAAGATTTTAACATCATTTCTTAAGAGACGACTGATGACATTGGCTTCACATTTCGGGCTGCAATATCTCCCTGTAGAGAAGCTCATAAAAAAACTTGCATAAAGGAAAAATCATATTTTCATTCTGTTACTCCCTATCTAATATAGATTGACATGGTAAACCTTAATATATTCACTTTGCTTTATATATTAATAATATATTATATTGCCTTAACAGATAACAGAAATGGGTCGCAAATTTGTTGTTGGAGGTAACTGGAAGATGAATGGTGACAAAAATCAAATCAACGAAATAGTTAATAATCTAAAAAAGGGACCTCTAGATCCTAATGTTGAGGTAAATGAAATTCAATACTATAATGTTAATTTTAAAATTGATTTAGGCTTCAATTTATTATATTTTAAGCAATGCTTTTCAAAATATGATCTTTTAAGACTTTTTTCTTAAAAGTAGTTTGAACAGGAAAACTGATTTTTTGTTGGCTGTAGTCTTCCTAAACATACTACTTTTATTGTATGTCATATGCATTTAATTAAATATTGTGTGTTCACTCCACAAAAAAAAAAAACAAATTTCATTATTTTGTTAAGTGACAATGTTACTTTTTTGAGAAATGTATCAACTTGTTGTCAGGTAATTGTTGGTGTTCCTGCTATTTACCTGTCTTATGTGAAGACTATCATTCCTGATAATGTCGAAGTTGCAGCCCAGAACTGTTGGAAGTCTCCAAAAGGAGCTTTTACTGGTAAATGTGGTTTATCATAGTTATCGGAATTTTTGTATAACATCAAAACAATGTTCCAATTATGATATACAGAGTACTAAGTAATGTTTTACTGTTGCTTCAGGTGAAATTTCACCCGCTATGATCAAAGACGTTGGAGTAAATTGGGTTATACTTGGTCATTCTGAAAGAAGAACAATTTTTGGTGAAAAAGATGAACTTGTTGCTGAAAAGGTAGTTTGAATTGTTGATACATTAAATGTATTTTTTTAATGAAAATTTATGAAGCTTGTGAGAGCTTATAGCATAACCTTTTTGATTTCTCTAATGGGGTTTCAAAATGATTAGCACAGTACTCCACCGCAGTATTTTGTGCAATGGTATATTTATAATAATCAGACTAATCATGTATTAATTAACAAGCTAACAAAGTGCAAAGCTAAGACAAAATTTAAATAATGCACTATAAATCTGTTGACCTCTATTAGTATTTTCATTGTGTTGTATTTTCTAATTTTTTTCTTAAATCCCACTTTAAGCACTAGCTACACTATCAGCACGCTATGATGGCCATTTTGACATACTACAATAGTGATGTAAATTGTCAATTATTATTTATTCTCCAAAAAATGTAATGAAGTCTAAGTTTTTATTGCAGGTAGTACCTGATTAAAAAAGTTTAATAAAACAAAAATATAAATGCTTACTTAATATATTTGAACGATCTGTATATTGGAATAAAAATTAATATACATACTACAAGAAATAAATTAATACAAAAAGAGACCAAAAAAAGTGCCCCAAAAGGCTATATTTAATCAGATACGTCCATTCTGCTATTTTCACTGTCATCACTGTTATCATCACCTACATTAATTATAAGTTTGTTTTCTAAAATATTATCTATGTTCAGATTTCTTTCGTAATCTTCCCTTATTAGTTTAACAGTTCTTTCCACAACCTTTTCCCAGTCTCTTTTAGTCACATGTTCACAAACTTCTAATATTTTTAGCATTTTTGATGTGGTAAAGGGGGTTTTGTATCGTGTCTTGTAGCATATCCCTTAATTTGTGCCAACACCAACTCATTTGCATAATATTCACAATGGTAAGGCGGTAACCGTATAACTCTGTGCCCCTGTTCTAATGCTATTTCTTCAATGACGTATCGTATCTGGGTTGGTTTGAATTTCGAAAAACAAATGCTGATTTGTGTGGTAAATAAGTACGGTACGGAACACAAATGTAATTACTATTAATACGAAACTTCATGGGTGGACAAACGTCAAAACGGCCATCATAGTGTGCCGGTAGTGTCGTGTGTGCACTAGGATGCGTTATGTGTTTTATCTATATGTGCTCTAAAGTAACCAGGTGTTTGAGTTTGAAAGATGGGATAGGTATTATTCAATTTAGTTCTGTCCATTTATTGTAATTTTTTTTACCAGGTTGCTCATGCCCTTGAATCTGGCTTGAAAGTCATTGCCTGTATTGGTGAGACTCTCGAAGAGAGAGAATCTGGCAAGACTGAGGAAGTTGTTTTTAGACAATTAAAAGCTTTAGTATCGGCCATTGGTGACAAATGGGAAAATATTGTGCTTGCCTATGAACCTGTATGGGCTATTGGTACAGGCAAGACTGCTACTCCCCAACAGGTTTGTTTATCACAGAACTCTACACACATTTTGTTTTATTTATGTTAATTATGATTTAAGTTTATTCGACCTATCTCTATGCTTATGTCCATATTTGTATTGCATCATATTATTAACCTGTAGTCTGCATGTTTACCAATTAATTTTATCAATAGTATTTTACTGCATTTTATTGGTACATAATATTATATTAATTTATGATAATAATATGTTTTGGACTTACGTCTAGCAAAGTACTTGTTGTCATGTCTAAAAGTTATAAGATTATTTTTTAATTGGATTATAAGTGCAGAAAAAGGTTGCAGTTGTTGTTTACTTTTAAATTTCTTTTAGGCTCAAGATGTCCACCATGCTCTTCGTAACTGGTTGTCGGCCAATGTGAGTGGGAGTGTATCTGACGCTGTACGTATTCAGTACGGTGGCTCGGTCACAGCTGCTAATGCTAAGGAGCTTGCATCCTGCAAAGACATTGATGGTTTCTTAGTTGGTGGAGCCAGTCTTAAGCCTGAGTTTGTAGAAATTGTAAATGCTAATCAATAAAATAATGCATTGATTATTAAAAAAATGTTATCACACTTGTTGATATGCTACTTCAAACATAGATTATTTTTAATGAAACATATTCTTTAAGCGTAATCATGTGTAAGTGATAATTTTTCATGCTTTTATGAATATTTATTATCAATGTATTTGAAATAAATTTTGCTCTTTTTGTTGTATTCCTTTTATATTATATAATATTAATGATGTATTTAATGCATTTTACTATCACTGCAGTCAGTCGATTGGTGGAAGAGTAGAATATAATTATATGTATATATATATATATATATATATTTTGCTACCTATTTGCTGGTCTACTTCATCTACGTGCCGACGACTAGGTGAGCTCAGGGGCTCAACCTGAGCGAATTTACCAGCCCTAGTAAGAGCAGTGCTTTGTAGAATCTATCATCGGATTGGAATCACGACCAACTGTGAAGATATAGCGAGAAACTTACTAGGCTGTATCTATAGGTTAGCTCGCTCGTCGAACTCATCGGTTACGACGAGGTCGGTGACGGGCGCTTGAAGAGGCTAAAAGCATCGAGATTGGATCCCGAGGATCCGACAAGACATGTTTTGGGTGACGGCGGCTTTGCGTTGCCCCGTCGTCTGGGTCGGATATAGATATAATTAGCGGGAGCTACGATAAGAGGATTATCGTGTCGTGCCGTTTTGTCGAAGTAGCCTTCTGACGCTACATTAATATACATACGGGTCGGCGCTTCAACGGCTATCCTGTAGAAATGAGATTGGATGACCTGAGGAGAGTTTATTTGTAAGTTTTTTTATTATGAATCGGCAATCATCCAGCTCATGAGATGTAGTCGGCATTGTTTTTAAGAATTTCAGTACTACGTTATGGCTTTTTAAATATAATTTCAAATTTATATTTTAACATCTCCCATTTTTTCTTTGTGCTATCTTATATCTTATAGCCAGATGGTTTTATACTAGAATATTCATCATGTAACTAAGCTTAGAGACTTCATATTGGACAAGTATTTCTAAATAAAGATAGTCTACTTGGCATTCTTAGAACGATTTGCTTCTATTCGATGATTTGCAAGCGAAGTAAATTGTCCATTTGTAATAAGGTGAAACTAAAAAACTTGCATACTTCCAGTCATGACCTATGTAGTGCTCGCTCAGACGGTACCCACTACCTTAAAATCCCTTCAAACTATTCAATCCTGTTTTTGCAGGATAGCCGTCGGAGCACCGTGGTTTGTGAGAAATGTGGATCTTCACGACGATATGGACCTAGAGTCCATCAGTAAGTATTTACAGTAGGCATCAATGCGCCACTTCGAGAAAATGGCACGACACGAGAACCCTCTCATTGTGGCTGCCGGTAACTGCATTCCCGATCCTGCGGACCAAATGGTAAACAGTCGACGTCGCTCTAAACACATCATTTCGGATGCTCCCGATCCACTAACGGTGCTTTTAGGTATCTCAAGCACCGGTAATCGTTCTTGTCGGCCGTCTGGTGTAGTGGTAAGTGACATGGTCACTACACAAGGTGGTCGCGGGTTCGAATCCCGCCAAGGGAAGATATTTGTGTGAATAATATAAAATGTATTTTCCAGGGTTATAGATGTATATTAAATATATGTATGTGTATAATAAAAATCTTACATTTATTTCCGTTATCTGGTACTTGTAACACAAGTTCTTTACGAACTTACCACGGGACTAGTTAACGTGGCGTGATTGTCAGTAAATATTTATAATGTATTTATAATTTATAATGTATTATAATGTCGAACTTGTCGCTTGTGACGAAGGGCTCGACAAGTAAATTAACGCACAGACGCAGCCCAGAGTTTCTCGCCGGATCATCTCAATGGGTCGCGTTTCCGATTCGATGATAGATTCTGCGAAGCACTGCTTTTGCTAGGATTAGTGTTAACAACGTCGTCAGGCTTGAGCCCCGTGAGCTCACTTACTAATTCTGTGAATCTAGTATAACCCTTCGAGGTTAGTAGAATAGGTATTTTCAAAACAAAAAAAAAATATCTGTGTGGTCAAACGTTTTCTCTTCTAGTGTCCAAACACATGGGTTATGATGACAATTGGGAAAGACCAGATTATTTATAAGTATGCGACCATTCAGTTGAACGACATTACTTAGATGATATTAGCATAAAGCCAGTCATGAATAAATAGTCAAAACATTGATGTTACAAACACATTTTATTTAATAAAAAACATGAAAAATGTTACAAAACTACATTTATACACCACCGATCTAATTTCTTATTTCCCAAGCCAATCTATATTAATTACAACATACCTACAAATTAGACGAATAATTTGCAAAATTATTATTACTGTTTGTTTTTCTTCTTTGGAATGAAGAATGCGGTTGGCTAGCAGGACTTGTCGCATGAACGAGATGTGTGGGCGAACTCGAGAAATCAGTATGAAGGGAGATTTGTTAGGTGATTAGTGGACCGTGCTTAGGTTGACCGCTCGTCGCAGTAAGCGAACTGCTGTTCCCAGATTTTCTACTCTTTGCTCGGCAACGTTTGTGAAAATTACACAACAACCATGCCTTAAATTAAATTGTTATCCAAAAAATACATGTGTGCAATTCACACGTGGTAGAAGTGAAACCTTCCAAAATTAAAATACAATTATCCTAAACGTCTTAAGTATATGTAAAATTTTGTCTTTAGTAAATAATTGTAAGGTAGCGCCCTCTGTGAATTGATATTTTAATTTCACGTACAATCCTAAATTAAAATTCACTACAAGAGCTTTCATACATACGTTAGTATTAAAAAATCTCACAGATGGCGCTGTATTAAATAGTATGTATATTTCTGTCTCATTCTTTGCTGGCTTCAACCTACACATTTTTGTATTTGTGTCTCTTACCTGTCGTTTTTCCCGTTGCATCCGGTTTGAAATCACAACGATTCTAAAGAAGTTTTCACTTCAAAACACCTGGATGCTTTGAACCTGTGATGGCTTACTTAGGCGACCGCGGTAGTCAGTTGGGTATTAATTAATATCAGATAATATTCAGTCAATCACTTTCTTTAAATACGTTACCGATAAAACTTCTAAAGTCTACATTTTTATTGAATTGATTTGAAAGTGAATTAAAAATAAGCCGGAAAAATCGCACGAAAACCACAGTTCGAATTAAAATTCTTGTAAATTTTACGATCGAATTACAGATCAATAAAACACAGCCTAGCTCTGTGAATCTAGTATAACCCCTGGAGGTTACTAGAATAGGTAGGAAAAAAGGAAAGAAAAAAAACAGTGATAGTAGGTACCTACCTAAGCATTGGACATAAACACCGGATTTTAAATATTAACGACTTCTCTGAGTTTTTTTTTTCTAGATTATATTCAGTAAAGCACTTTTCTTTCTAGCACCAGTAGGATTTATAAATGCGAACGAAAGTGGCGAATGTAACGTAGTGATTCAAACCGACCCGGTCTTGTAGTTTGAAAGTCGAAGATAGATGTATTAGGAATATGAGTTTCGCTTCTTATTACTGTCGTAATATTGTTTAACACGATGAAATGATACGGGAGGAAAAAAATAAAATTTTTTTTGCTAGTTGCTTATTTTACATGCAACAAGTAGGTATCTAGGCCGCGTTAAGTTAGCCAGTAGGTTGTACTAATTTATATATTGATGAAATCTTCGCTTTGTTATGTGAAAAAATGCTAAGGTATCTGGGGTCATAAGCTGAACTTAAAATATAGAGGTAGATAAGTACCTAACACTAAACTTAAACATTTCTAAATCTAGGTGAATAGCAGAAATTACGTAAAACTGATAAATTTTAATTCACTATATTTTATGCTGATGCTTCTAATATTAAATGAAAATGGTTTATTTTCAGTGGAAATGTACGTATATACCTCTGCTCGCAAAAATTCTTATATCAATTATTAATGGTGACATGAATTATTTACTTTAATACTTAAAAAAGAAGCGGAAAGAAGGCGCATGAACGAATTAATCAGACAGCATTGATAAAAAATTCTGTAATTTTAATATTTGTTTTATAAAATAACAATAAAGACCTATTTAAGAAACTAATTTAAGAATGTCATAAGTATTCACTAGTAAATTTTTTAACAATTAATTGAACAAACTATCGCATTTCAAGGTCACCGGGATATCACCAGTGGCACAAGAAAGTTGAGCTATTGCCATAAAGATTTTTTCCTGTGACATGGTGCTCCTTTCATCTATGTCACCCGTTCACTGATTTTTTTTCTCTTAATTTTATGTTCGGATTGATAAAAACCGCATTGATAAACAAGACTGTCTTAACAGATTTCAAGTCTTGACTACTTTCAGACTTAGACTGTAATTGAAATTAGAAAAGTGTTGAGGTTATCAATAATATCAGGACAAATTGTTTTTTTTTGAAGATTTTAAGGCCTTTATAAAAATTGACATTTGAGTCTTACAAAGAGTAAATATTTAGACGAAATTGTCTGTTCCAACAAAGCTAATCAATATATTAGAGGACAAAGATATTTCATTAAAATGTTAGTACATAATTAAAAATTATTTTGCATCTAAAATTTTCAGTCCTCGATATGGTTTTTCATTTAAAAAAAGTCAATGCCCATGATATGGCATTAAAAATCGTCATTACCTACGAACATTACTCAATAATGTGTAACATCGATAAAGTATCGATAAAAACTCGATAAAGATCAAGAACAGAACACAAGTATATAGTACCTAAGTAGACCATACATATGATTTTTGTCATACTGGGAACGAAAATTGACTTTTCTGGGTTAGATTTTGTAATAAATCATAACTAACCTAATTAAGCTTAACCTAATTTTCTTAGTACATACCTACATTGTAAGTTTTTTTTTACATATTTATAAAATCCATGATTTAGGATTTTAAGAAATCTTTTTTTAGCGGAATATCCCTCCCTCAGTGATAAAAAACTATATAGGTACTAACCACAACACCAAAACCACATAAAAGTATGACATCGGCATAAAGGTACCGCGCGAGTCAAAAAGTCTTGCCTTCCTTAACTTTCTTACAATAAAACCGATAAACCGAGAATCTTCTTCCTATCTGACGTAGGTTTTTGCGACGAAAGTAAACAACCTATCATAATCACATAGGTAAAAAGTTCATGTCGAAAGTTTTTATAGTGATGCACATAATAATATATTAATGTGAAAAAATACGTATGTATATTCAAAGCTGAACACAATAAACGCGGTCGGATTTCGTAGATTGCATAATTATAATTAATAATGATACATCGATCCATCTTAAGAATTGTTTTCAAAGCTTTTGAACTAAATGTTAATTCGATACTCAAAACTACAAAATGTCACATACGTTAAATTATTGGTCATTATACCAAAAATTCACAAGAACAGTTAACTATGACTCTTCTTTTGTTTTTTAACTTTTGAAATGAAAAGATCCAATACTTGAAGAATAGTCACTTAGTTTTTGAATACAGCAGAAGCTACGAATGGAAGATATTTGACCACTGGTTCGCCCTGTGATAGTACATATCTGACAGGTTCAAAATAAGCCGCAACAAATGACAAAATAAGAAGCCAAAATAGAATCTTGCAGACCCAGTGCACTACAAAGAGGCTGAAACAAAGAAAATAATATTACGTAAAATATCACAGTTCAGATTTCAATATTTAACATCACCATAATTAAGCTACTTACAAATTGTGATATGACCGGTTGAGGTGTATTTTGGTAACATCTTCCTTTAAGCAGAACACTCTGCCACCTTCGACGCTCCTTTTCATATATTCAGCAGGATCAGCATCAGATACGTCTACTTTAAAGATAATTCTCTCTTCTTCGTTCAGTTTTGATGGGATACTGTCAAAGTTAGGACACGGGAAGGACCAGGGCCGCATTGTGAAATATTGCAAAACTTGTAAACCCTGACTGATTCGATCTTGTACTCTGACCATGCTGAAATTGAATTATAGTTTTAAGTATTGATAGCGATAACGAAAATGAAGAAGACAGATGTGTGAAATACTTTAAAAAAAATTGTTCAACGTTAGCGAATTGTATTTAGGTACTTGTAATTGCAATTAACAGAATTGTAATGCCTTTTTAATAGTGGGTACTTACAATCGTTTCTGTCCCATTAGGAAGAGAAGGAAATCTATACAATAGGCGGGTACAAGGTGGTAGAATATACGGCGAATTTCATGAAGTGTGTAGTTGGTGGTTATATCTCCATTTGGATACCACAGCGGCCAAGAGAGTGGATATTTCCTTCCGTAATCTTTCGCGACGGTGAGTACATCCCCCCAAGTCATGGGTTTTTGGTGGCCTATGTTTACATTGTAAACTGGGATTGTTAATGATCTGAAAATTCGTACAGAATAGGTTTGGGATGCAAAAATTTAATGCGATTTTATTGTTTAGTTTTATATGTGTTTATTGAGATGTTGCGATCAATACCTAAATTTCTTAATTAATTTTAGGTGCTTTAGCTGTGCGTGTTAATTGCGGCACCATTTACACTAACTTATGGTTTTTATAAATTTAAATTACGCTATTTTATATATCTGGACAAAAGTCTCATAATATATTAGTCTTAATTATCGTTACGACAAACGTTTAGACAAAATTATAAAATAAACGCCAAGCTAACTCTTTATTTTGGTCCAAATTAGTTAGAGTTGATTCATGTGATCATAATGTTTCAATTTGTTTGGCGGCATTCAGGTTGAGATGCGTAGAGGCAAAGATAAATTCTCAACATCAATAGGAGCTCGCCTACTCATCAATGCTTTTTAAAATTAAGAACTGAAGTACGAGAGGTATATATATCTTGTTTTCGTCTTTTAATAACTTTGATTATAATGATTCTTCTAAGGTTTAAAATATACAACTTGTCACTTAATTTAGGAATGGTTAATCTTCTCGAAAAAAAGCGATCGATCGATTGAAGAATTTATAAGAACAACAGTCGGCACGATTTCGCAAGACCCATTTTCTTTCAATAATTAAGTAAGTAATAAAAGTTTGACATGTTTTTTTACCCTTAACTGTAAACTATATTGTAATTGCGTTCTTATCGAAATATAAAATATATAATGTTGATTATATTACTATCTGGGATCTGTTCGCTGGTTCAATTTATTGCATAATATTGATTTGAAATTCGCAGTATTTTTTTGATTAAAATTTTTTTTCGATAAAGTGCTCTCGGATTGCCATCTTTAATATATCCGTTTTATTAAGTTAAACATATAGGCAGGAATTTAAATTAGAATTATTAATAAAAATATTTAACGGGCATTTGAAATAATTTGTGGGCGCCTTTAAAGCCTTGAGCCACTACTCACTTTTCTTTTTTTGTTCCTTCAATCATTCCTATAGCTATTATTGCATTGATAGCTATATCTACTGGTATTACTTGAGCGCTTAGGGTGCCATCACAGAGCATAGTGCGTATTACTCCTTTGCCAGCTCCAATCATAACTCCGACTGGTCCATTGAGGTTGTCAACCCAACCTGGCATCGGCTCCGAATATGATGGACAGACTGAAATGCATAAATAATAATACTATATGTAGCTTTAAGAAACAAAAAACACGCCTAAGTATCGTAGTAATCCGAAGTAAAAAGATGTTAATAACAAATCTTGACATTTTTTCAATTACATTGTTCCACATTTCTTTGAAGACCTTTGCTTTGATTTGGTTATTTTGTAGACGGGTGAAGAGGCTCACCTGGTCCCCCTTTGTGCTTAGTGCGAGTTTTTTAACGTTCTCGATAGCGTAAAAGTTAACACAAATTTGTATGAAATCGGAACAGCTCCACTAGCGACAAACGTAGGCAAACGTTCCAACTTCATACAAATTTGAGTTAACTTTAAAGCTATCGAGCACGTTAAAAAACTCGCACCAAGCACACTGGTATAACGTGCTTACTAGAGCCAATAGCCATCACAACTGTCATTCACTTTTATACACGAGGTCAATGTCACTTTAATATTACACAACGGCGGACCCATTCTTCAAGCTGCATTACTGCTTCGCAGCAGAAATAAGATGGTGGACCTAGCCGCGGAGACTTACAATGCCTTACATCCAGTAAACTAAAGTTGGCGATCACAGTACACTGGCCAGCACAGTACACAAGTTGCTTTGCGTTTCTCGGTGAATCTCTTAGCCACCTATCACGACACTCACGGGTAGATATGGATTGGCACTATTCTAGGCCTAAGCTAGTACTGTCCTACAGCAAGAGCTTTATGATTGTGAGCAACGCTCAAAGTATATCTAATATATAAAATTCTCGTGTCACAGTTTTCGTTGCCATACTCCTCCGAAACGGCTTGACCGATTTTGATGAAATTTTTTGTGCTTATCCGGTATCTATGAGAATCGGCCAACATCTATTTTTCATCCCCCTAAATGTTAGGGGTAGTCCACCCCTAAATTTATTTATTTATTTTTTAGACAAAATTTTTAATTTCTATTTTTTTATGATACAACATACAAAAATACATACAATCCTCAATTTTCACTCCTCTACGATCAACCCCTATTTTTTATTGGTTAATTATAAACTTTAATTTTTTTGGCAAGATTTTCATTTTTATTTTGTCATGAATTAAAATAAAAAATCTGATGTTACTCTCAATTTTTCATCCCTCTATGATCAACCCCTATTTTTTATTTGTTAATTATAAACTTTAATTTTTTCGGCAAGTTTTTTATTTTGTTTTGTCATGACTTAAAATAAAAAAAATCATATTACTCTCAATTTTCACTCTTATACGATCAACCCCTATTTTTCCATCCCGATTAATATTTTTTTTATTCTATGCACAGATCCGCAATAAGGTTGCAAGATGGCAATCAAATATTATAATTGTAGTACGATAAATTCTTATTCAGAGTTTATAATATCAAGTTCCTTTAATTATGATTTTTTTTAAATTGAATTTGATCTCCCGCCCTCGGCGGTCGACTACTGATCAACTATCAAACGATCAGCTATCCCCGCCAGGTGTCACCACTCATCCAGCAAACATCACGTAGTAGGGATGAGGACGAAGCCGGTCTCCTGTCTTACGTACTCACTATACATCATAGATTATACACCTAATATATTTGAGAGCTATACAATACTATACATTTTTCAGCCATGTTTTTTTGGTTTTATTTGTGTATCAATAGTATGTTCAGTAGGTCTGAGAATCGGCTACTATCTGTTTTTCATACCCCTAAGTGAATTTTTTTGGATATTTTTTTTTGTTTATAATGAGTTATTATGTGGTTAAAGGAGGTTTTTTTTTCTACAGTAGAATTTCCCTAGAAACTTATTTAAGGCAACACAACGTTTGCCGGGTCAGCTAGTATTATATATATATTTTTTCAAGTAGGTACCTATGCTTGGGCGAGCTATCACGATTGGTAGATCCTTGTAGGCTTGTTCCACTACATTTTCTGCTAGTCTTTTAGAAAACGTATAACAATTCGGATGAGGTCCTAAAAGGGATGGTGTCAATAGTGTGAGTTGCCGATCGTCGAGCCATTCTATCAAACGCATTACATGCTCTGGTTTCGCCGGTGGTGCGTAAAGCTGAAATTAACCGAATACCACTATCATTTTACGTAATTAATTATCTCTATATATAAAAATGAATTGCTGTTCGTTAGTCTCGCTAAAACTCGAGAACGGCTGGACCGATTTGGCTAATTTTGGTCTTAAATTATTTGTGGAAGTCCAGAGAAGGTTTAAAAGGTTTAGATAAATATGAAAATGCTCGGAAATAAAAACAATTTAGTTTTTCCTTTGATGTCCCCCCCGTCGGACGGATTCCTTTTTTTTGTTATAAGTTTATTTTATACAAAAGTTTAGGTCTTTTATTTATCGTTTGAGGCATTACGATGTCTGCCGGATCAGCTAGTTTACGCAAGCGTATAGCGCCATTAACATTACCTATGTCAAACGGCACGCGAGCAATATTTGAGCTATTTAATTTTATAATCGAGATATAAAAAAAATACCTTTTCTCCTAATACTTCGTAATCCGGATAGCAGAAAGCGGTTGAAAGATGCACAAAAATTTGAAGGTTTTTTAATTTCTTCGCAACCTTGATCGTTCTTAATGTACCAGAAGTATTCATGTTGACATTATCTTTCAAAGGGGCCTCCAGTCTCAACGTGGCGGCGAAGTGAAAGACGACCGTCACTTCTTTGGATAAATTTTCAATCTCCAAATTAGACAGTCCAAAATCTTCAAAGAGAACGTCCCCTTGTATTGCTTTAATTTTATTTAAGGCGTTTGGTCGTTCATTTTTCAATCGATCAAACAGCTGGAAAAAACCCGAATTCAACAAATAGAAGAAAAAACACTGATAGTATTTAATACATTAAGCATTCAATTGAATTAGCATACCGGTAGCCTTTGCAAGTCCTCGAGTCGTTGGGCTACAGTTTTCGCTTTCTTAGGTCTCATTAGAATATACACATTACCGATTTCTGGTACAGAATACAATAGTTTTTCCACAAGAACTTTTCCCATGAAGCCGGTGCCGCCTGTTACTAGGATGTTTCTGCCGGCGTAGAAATCCCTCACACTGGTAGCCGACGACATTCCTATAATAATATTAACATTAGTTAATTGTTATATTACATAGGTTCCGTTTTAGTGTTATTTTTAACATTAAAATATGACATATTTTTATAAAAAATACGAAGTAGAGTGTAGACTTATAGGAAGTCTTATTTTCAAATAAATAAAATGTTGATACGTTTTTTTAGATAGACTACTTCTTTTGGATAATTTTATATGTATAAGTGTTTGATTTAAAAAGATTAACAAACCAAAAAAAAAACAGTAATTTATACGCGAAAGGACACATACAAGAGTTGTCACAACATGATGCAATAAAGGCAAAAGTTGTGAGTTATGATTAAGCTTTCATAAGAATAAGAAGAAAAGGAAGAATAATATTTTTCATAAGAAATTGTGTAACTAATAAGATTCTAACAAATACAGTAGAATAATAATATTTATAATCAAAAAGTGTATCTGCTACTACTTATTAATTTTCTTTTTTATTGCGTAGACTGTAGACGGATGAACGAGCTCACAGCACACCGGGTAGTGAGTGGTTACCGGTGTCTATATATATGTGAACAACGTCAATGACGTCATCTACAATGAAAATCATGGTTTAACTTAAGGTTATGTTGGTCTAACACGGTCGGTTTTATTATGCTTATTTCGTATTTATATCTTATCTTATACCTTTAAACGAGCAATTATTGTATATATAATCTGAATCTCGGAAACCGCTCCAACGATTTTTATAAAATTTAGTATACAGGGGATTTCGGGGCGATAAATCGATCTAGCTACGATTTATTTTCAGAAAATGTTGTTTTATTCGTGTTTTTAATAATCAAATTTAATCGATAATTAACTCTATGACTCTTTCTGACATCTATTGGCGAATAATGATACGATTTTTCATAACTGAGAGCAACTAACTGCTTTAAAAACACAATAACATTAAAGCTATTTCAGCAGATGGCGTTGTTGAGCCAGCCAAGCCAATGAGTGTTTGGTTTAAGGTTAGACCAAGAAAATGAATTGTTTATTTATATTATTTGTTTTTTTTAACTCACGTGTTCACTTAAAAATGCCTAAACGATCTTGGCATATTTCATCATTTTATCAATATGTATGTAATTCGTATTTAAGTATAATTTCTAAATAAACACAATTTATCAACAAAAAAAAAATAACTGAGCAAAGCTCATCGTCTAGTTTATTCTTAAAGAGTTATGTTAAGTTTAAAGAGTTATGTGTGTAGAAATTCATACTGTTATTTTTGTTTACTCTGCATTCAGAATCTTAATTCCGATAGTAGATATAGGATATAACCTCTTACACTATATTTATACAGTAGTTGTATTGCAGTGTTTTTTAATCATTATGAATATTATTATGTAATTCAGTTTTTTTAAAAAAAAAACAATATTGCAGATTATGTAATTAAGCCTCATAAAGAACCATAAAGAATCCAATTAAATACATATTTGAGGTGTAACAAAAGTATTGAAAAAAAATGCTCAGTTTAGCGTAGGTACCTGTGTCACGCCGCTAAATAAAGGTTCTGCGTAACTATTACATACATAATCAGGAAGCATATTTAAACTATCATTATCATGAACATTCGAATGGACCATTGAACTAGTCTATGGTAAAGTTACGAATCATTTTTTTTAATTTTTTGACGCTATTGACGGTCAGTGACGGATTTTTTTTCTTTTGAAACTTGAAGTTTGAAACTAATTTATTTAGAAACTCGATAGTGCAAGAAAATATTTAAAAACTCAAATGATGATGAATATACATTTTCAGGTGTCAGTAATTATGGCCGAATTTCGATCATTTCACGAACAGTGGTACTAATCTATACTAATATTATAAAGCTGAGGAGTTTGTTTGTTTGAACGCGCTGAACTGTAATGTCAGGAACTACTGGTCCGATTTGAAAAATTCTTTCAGTGTAGATAGCCCATTTATTGAGGAAGGCTATAGGCTATTTAACGTATAACATCACGGTAAGGCCAATACAAGTGGAACACCAATAAAGAATGTTTCAAAATAGGGGTTTAAATAGCCAAAGTAACTATTCCACGTGAACGGAGTCGTGGGCAAAAGCTAGTGATACATAAAACTGTAGGTAATTGGAAGGTACGTAATCGATTAGAAAATTATGATTTGTGAGCTCATATTCAGTTAAATTTTTTTATTTATTGCTTAGGTGGGTGGATGAGCTCACGGCCCACCTGATTTGAAGTGGTTACCGGAGCCCTTAGACATCTACAATGTAAATGCCTCTACCCACCGTGAGACCCGACTAAAGTCTCAGTTTTTACAGTACAGTTCAACGGCTGCCCTACCCTTCAAACCGAAACGCATTGCTGCTTCACGGCAGAAATAGTGAGGGAGATGGTACCTACCCGTGAGTACTCACAAGACGTTCTACCACCTTTATTTTTAAGATTAAATTTTGAATCACATTTTGTAGTCTAAAAGCACTACGATAACGACTACATGTTTTTCGGAATAGTCAACACAGTGAAAGTAGACCAAAGATCACGCTTTCTATTTCTAAAGATTCATAGCAACGTACTTCGCCTGTGTTCGACGATTGTCATACCTTACCGATACTGATGTTACTCTATCTACGACATTCTTTCAAGGTCACGAGTCTTACATGATTCTTGGAATCATATCTTGGTCCGGAAGTCAAATATCCTAACGATGATATTAACTATCCGGGTATTGATTTAAGACCAAGCAGTACAGTAGCAGGGTAATGAGCTACTAAGCGTGGCTATGAAGATATTTTAATGTGAACTTTACAATACAATACAAATGATCAATTTAAGTGTTCACAAGTCAATGCGATAATGCTTAACAAAAACAGATCCGCGAAAAAAAACCTATTAGTTTGTACCTATCAAAATTCAATATACGTAAAAACATTTGGCATTCATAAGTTTCGGTGAATTTCCGTTAACCATAATGAAATCCGTTTTGTATTGAAATTAAAATAATACACACTTAATCAGCAATACAATGTTTTACTTGTTTTAATAGTAACGTTACCCATGTTACGCACATCTGCAGTCATACCATAGTCATAGTCACAACGCTGCCATACCTGAATTAATTTAGTTTTGTGTAGGTCACTACAGATTACAAAACTTAGATATTTTTGCGCTTACATCAACTTAATTTCTCTATCATTTGAAAGTACTCTTCAATTTAAGAAGGCTGCGATTAGGTGATTTCAATAGATGATTTTTTTTTTAAATTCTACCAAAATCTAAGGTACGTAATTTATAACCCACAAAGCTGTTGTCGAGCCTCATAGTTTTTACTAATTTAGGGCAGTATTAGCTACGAATAAATAGACTTATTATTTATTCGTAGAGCATTAGTGACGAACAATTTAATATTTTTCGGCAACTATGTCGTGAGTGATGTAACGATGTTTATAGCTTTTAACTGCGTTTTTCTTATAAAGTGTGTCCCAAATTCGGTATATTAAGCCGAAACAGTGATATGGTATCAACAATGTTGATCACTATAAAAACATAAAAGAAACCTAATTAGTAGTTTCATACAAAAACTATTTATTAATGTTTCAACTGTTGGATGAAAACCCTTAATTTATATTCCATCCGAAATAAGCATAGAGAAGTATAAATTAATAGCATTCGAAAGTTCTATGGTGTTCATGAAATCACACGTCTAAGATACCATAAAGAAACCGAAAATGTTGGAAGAAAATCCTGGCAATGTTATTTCACCTATTTGTGTGCGTGGTATACAAATAGCTTCAGTCTGTGTTAAATTTTGAGTTCGTACAGATATTTTACTTCTAATGTAACGCAGAAATTATAATATGGATCCTAGGGATCTTTTTTGTTTTTTTTTTTTTTTCTTAGATGGATGGACGAGCTCACAGCCCACCTGATGTTAAGTGGTTACTGGAGCCCATAGATATATACAACGTAAATGCGCCACCCACCTTGAGATATAAGTTCTAAGGTCTCAGTATAGTTACAACGGCTACCCCACCCTTCGAACCGAAACGCATTACTGCTTCACGGCGGAAAAAGGCGGAGTGGTGGTACCTACCCGTGCGGTCTCCCAAGAGGTCCTACCACCCGTGATATGTCAATTATAAATTCATGTGCGTCCTATTTATCGGCTGATTAAGTTTGTCGCATGATCCTAACATTTACTTGCTGTCCGTGCTGTCATGACCACATACCAAAAAACATGTAATTCTCCTGAGTATAATATCTAATCCTGTCTAATATTTGTGTAGCTGTAAAAAGACAGCACGGTTGAAAGTTGATCATACTAGTTATATAATAACATGTCATATTAAATAATAGAAATATAAGTGAGATTTTGAGATGAACCCTCAGCGAAATCAACCTTCGTTCTGGTATGCTGAGGGTTAGAAATGTTTTAAAATTCAAAATTGCCAATTTCGTACGCGTTCCGTTTTTTGGTCATAAAATTTGGTATGTAAATTTTATGAAGCAACAGTATACATTAAAATATACATAACAATAATAATTCATCTCGGTTGTGTGTAACTCACACTATGTTGTCGAGAACTTAATTTAATTGGTACTGTGAAGCTTACGTAATCACGTAAAACTGTGTAGAAAAATATTCGACTCGGTTGTGTGCATGGGAGTTAATAAGTTGTGTGTAACTCATACTATGTTGTCGAGAACGTAATTTAATTGTTAGTGTGAAGCTAACGTAATCACGTAACTGTAGGAAAATATTCGACCAAGGATAAAAATGTGAAATCGACTGGTCGAATAATAAACCTTTTTGTTATCTCGAGTGGCCATTATAATTATTTTTTTAGATTGTACATTTCAAGCCCAGCGATAAATAAATCTACCAGGTAGTTTGAGAATCAACATCATCATTATTGAAATAGAAAGTTTCGTTGCTCTTGTGACGTTGAAAGTTTGTTACCAAAAATAAAGTAACGGGTAGGTATATAGTTTCATTACTTTCACGTAGATATTTTATTTTGCAA